TCGTAGGTGACATCACTTACAGCTCTCCTTTAGGTGCCGTTGAGCACGTCTGTTTATCATTCAACTGTGTTCTGACCAGAAGTCATCAGAACAACGCAGACCCATATCCAACCACATGTCGTGCTACCTAACAGGCAATGCGTACAAAGGCTTTTGGGTTGCGGTAGGAAACCTCGGTGGCCGATATAGTTCAGGCGGCTTATGATGAGGTTTACGTCTTATCTCAAGGAAGTGTCCTTCCCTACCACATGCTTGCGTGGAGAAGCGAGCCACGAGCATACCCTCCGCGAACACGTACCACTGGCACGTAACTGCCGCAGAAGCGTGCCAGGTGCTGAAGGACGTACCGTGCGCCTTCATAAACTAGCAACTTTGATAGGTACCATGAGGCTTGAAATAGATGCAAACGACCATTGTAGACAGCTTGGCTGTGGTACAAAAAGAGTTCGCTACTGGAGCTTCGAAAAGCAGCACAAGTTCTTCTCATGCGTTAAAAGGCCGTGTGGTTTAGGTTTGGTAATTCTAACGTTGATGCGGGCCTATGGAACTCATAAGACGTGGAATCGGAGAATAGAGCTTCTACTTGATGAAGGGTATGCAGCGGCTTTTGTACTTGAGGCCGCGTGGACTAGCGTTGACGTTGTCTCAAGGGGCAGTAAGCGTTCTTATTTAGCTTAATCTATTGTAGTGGAACGGCAAGTCCTTCAACTGCCACAAAAACTGAACCCTTCTAAAACAGCTGGGCCTTATTCACTTCACCCGTAGTTTCGGTTTGATTTCGTGGTGAAACCAACTGGACCGCTGACGGGGATGTTTCTGAAGGCACTTGAGAGCATACATTACCTTATGAATGGAAGGAGGCTGGCTGTCTTAGCTACAAAATTGGCTACAGAAGTCTGACAGCTAATTATAGGCCAGTCAGTCTGATTAGCATTGTGGTCAAGTGGCTGGTAAAGCTGGTGAGAGAATATTTGAAACCTACCTGAAAAGATTTAATCTCACTAGTGCACAAAACGGATTCCAGAAGAGGTTTTCTTGTCTGACGAATTTTTTGGTTGCGCGTGAAGCTTGGGCCGAGGCAGTGGACGATGGCCACGTAGTGGACTTGCTTTCCGTCGGGTTCTCGAAAGCATTTGATAAGGTATCCCAATTTAGGCTAGCACAAAAGCTGAGCTCCTACGGTGTATTTGGCCGCGCCCTTCATTGGGTCTTCGCATGCTTGCAAGTGGGGTGTGTCTACGTGTGCGTCGCAGTTAATCCTATAGGCAAACTGTCGTAAGCTGTCCCAGAGGCCCGGTGCATGGACTCTTGCTGTACTTTATTTACATAAACGGTCGCACTAGGGAGCTGGGGGCATCGTACCCATTGTTTGCTGATGACTTAAGCTGTGGAACGTTGCAAAGGTCCCCGGAGGTTCTGAAGCCATTCAGCTTGCCCTGGACGCTAAGACTGGCGTAGGTCGTGACTGCTGCCAATTAATCAGGCTGCGTGTTTCGTCCTTCCTATAGGAGCATTATTCCCGCTTTCAATGTATAGCTCGGTCGGTTGGAGCTCCTACTTGCCTTCAACAAGGCACACCAAGGCGTCGTCTTTTCCTCGTCTTTGCAATCTGGTGACAACCGGAAGAAGGCCGCAAATCGGTGTCTCAGTTTGTTAATATGATGATGATGTTCTTTTAGGGACTTTACTGCAGGCGTATTTGTGAAGCTGTTCTCAGCTTGCCTTCGGCCCCAGCTGGCACGCAGTTTCCAAGGTTGCCCGCAGTGCCTTGTGCGGGACAAAATGAAGCAAGAGATGGTGTTGAATGTAGGTGCCAGATTAGTCGAACGGTTATGGGGTCAAACGTTGCCGAGCTTCTACGTAGCTGGGGTGTGTTCAATGCGATAATGACGGCTTCCAGGATACCTGAGTCTTAGATACCGCATGTTAACTGGGAAGGTTAGACCTAAGTAGAGTTGGCTATTTAGACAGATAAGTTGCCCAGTACTTGCAAGTGTCCAATGAAGAAGTGTTTTGATCGGTGTAGGGCGGAAACTCGGCCGTCGCGAAGCGTTATTAAGCGTTGGAAATCACTTCCAAAAAAGTAAAAGTGAACATACAGCAAATGGAACTGATCGGCAGTTAGACAAGCTTCGGTGGCAAAAAGAAAAATTACGTTTCCCTGAAAATATTAATCATAAAAGGAGTTAATATTCCGTCATTCTCTCTACACTTTGGGGTAATGCTGCAAATAAAATATGTTCCAACATACTTTAATTCATTTCTTTCTACCTACTTTATTACTCACGTGAGATACACAAAGAGAATACAAGTGCAGGGAAGGCGAGCAGCCTTTGGATGAAAGTGTGTTTGAGCGTTTCGTTTCGTATACCAAGAGGCCATCCAGCACTTCATGATATTTAGACACAAAGGGCAAAAAAAGATATACACTAAAGAGATATTACAAATGATCCAGTCAAGTATAAATTGATAAAATGTGAGATCTCGATGGCTGACTGTCTAGCTAGCCTGGGATAATTCTGTGGCATAACTTTCTGTTTCCACTCCCTATATTCCACTTATGAGGAAAAGAGGGTTCAAGGCACAGCCTTCATAGATAGATACCACAGGCAAGTACCTACTCAAGAAACGGTTTAGATGCTGGCGAACCTACCAAACAGCTCCATCAGCCAGTACCTAAGATAGTTATTTAGAGATTAGAAATAAATGTAAGCAACGTCTCAGAAATGTTCGTCACTAGTATGCGCAGGAGTTAGCTGACTAGGCTGCAGTTAATCCCAAGAAGTTCTTTGCGTACTTTACAAGACGCAGCGGGGTAAAACTGTCTATACCAGCGTTATTGCGAACAGACGGGACCCGTGCGCAAACTGACCATGACAAGGCTTGTATACTTACTGATCAGTATACTGGGGTCTTTGCTAGGGAGACCTCTTTACAACAGGTTGAATTGGTTTCAAGAGTTCCAGAGGATTCTTGCTTAGCTGAGTTTAACCTAACGGAGACTCAGGTCTACGAACTACTGCAAGGCGTTAATCCCTCTAAAGCTTCCGGTCCTGATTCAATTCATCCGAAGCTGTTGTATGATTTGGAAACTGAGCTGAGTGGTCCGCTCATGTGCGTGTTTTCAATATCAATTGACAGCTGCATCCTAACTCCGAAACGAAAGGAGACAATCAGCTGTCTGAATGTTAGGTGCTGTGACAGCGCTCGGCCCACGAAATACAGGCCTGCAGTTTCCCAAGAGTCAAGCTGTCCGCAAAGCTGATAAGTGATTCAGTGGAGAATCACCTGAATAGATGCAACCTTCTCAGCGATGCGCAACATAGATTTCGAAAGGGAATTTTACGTCAGACTAGTCTACTTGTAGCTCGTGAAAAGTGGACCGAAGCGGTAGGCCGTGGCCACGCTGTAAACGTGCGAATCGTGGACTTATCAAAAATTTTCGACACTGTTACTCATTCTCGACTCCCACTAAAGTCCAGATCTTATGGTATACCTGGTCGCGCCCTTCAGTGGGTGTCTCCCTTGAGGGGAGGGAACAGTGCGTACAGGTGGGGCGTAGCCTTTCGCTCAGGCAAGCTGTCCTTAGAGGCGTCCCGCAGGGCTCGGTATTGAGGCCATTGTTGTTCGCGATCTATGTAAATGACTTGCCGGGAGATCTAGGAGTGTCATCATTAAGGTTTGCTGATGACCTTAAGCTCTGGAATATTGTGGGTATCACGGGGGTCCTGAAGCAATTCAGCTTGCCTTGGATAGACTCTGGGAATGGTTTGCCTAATGGTCAGTGACCATAAATAGGACCAAGTGCTCTGTTCTCCGAATCAGAGCTGCTAATCCACCCACCCGATATGTTGTCGGTGGTGAGGAACACCCTGTTGTCCCTCAGCAAGTTGATTTAGGAGTCGTACACTCATCAGCACTTCGTTCTGGCGACAACTGAAACAAGGCTGCTTGTCGGAACTTCGTATGATGTGGTTTATCCGCCGCTCTTCCGGAATCCTAACGGCCAATTTGTTTGAGAAGCTATTCTCGGCATTCGTCTGACCGCACCTGTAATATTGTACCCAGGCTTGTCCACCATGTCTTAGCCGAGACAAAACGAACGTCGAGTGGGCGTTACGAGTGGGCACTCGGTTAGTACACGGTCTACGGGGACAGGCGTATCCTGAACGCTTGCACAGTTTGGGGATGTATTCAATGAACTACCGAAGGCTAAGAGGGGACCTGATTCTCACTTATCATATTTTAACAGGTAAGATCGGCCCAGACTTTTCAGGGCTGTTTAGTCCCAACACCTTTCCGAATCTCCGCGGTCACCCACTGTAACTGTATGAACCACGGTCTGATACGATTAAGACGGAAACTGGTCTGTCGCGCCGAGTTATAGATCGCTGGAATTCGCTTCGAGATCACGTGGTCAAGGAACCTACGGTTAAGGGTTTAGCGAGCCAGCTCGATGCTCTCGGGTGGCAACACCAAGCCTTTCCTTTTTCCTAGCTGACTCACCTTCACTTTTCATTTCTTTTTCAACGACTCAAATATCTTTGTATCCTACTTGCTTAACTCTTACCATTTTCTCTTTTGGTCTTCTGAGTTTACTTTTTTCTCTTCTTACTTCACGTAACCGGCCCAGCAGGGACTGCTGGGGGCGGGTGTAATGCGGTCTTTGTTATAGGTCCATCATTGTCTGGCTACTCCTGGTTCAACGACCTGCTGAAGAAGGAGCACTCACGGGATATTTCTATTGTTACAGTCCCGCTTGAACTTGAACTTGAATCAGGTTTAGTGTTGTAAGAGAACAGTTGTCAATATCTAAAAATTTTCACTTGTTTCTTAAAAAATTGTTTTGCACAATATTTAGCAAAACCAACCCGAATCGAAGTCGCGCTGAGAATTCGAACTAGCGCCTTAAGTTAGGGCAATTTACACTTTGCTAATCTCAGCCACCACTAGTTTTGGGTCCTTGCTAATGAAAACCGATTAGTGGAGCAACACTTGTAATGCCAGTGAACGGATCGGCATCAACTTGCAATGAGGGAAGGCGCTATTCCATTGGCAGCGGAGAAAAATACATGGTTGTTTGGGATGCGCATAAGGTCAGCGTTGTGCTTTCTATCTTCTGAACTGCTTTAATTGTTTAACCCTAACTGTGCGAATTTTTGGTGCTTTAGTACGTGTACCGATTCACTCCGTAGGTCTTGAAATATCCTTGATGGTTTGGCCATTGGATCATTGGATAATAGAGAGCAGAAGGAAGTTCCTTTGTCAGCTCCGTCACTTCCCGATCGTTTCGGAGATAGCCTGGGTCATTGCGGAACAAGGTCCCACAGAGAAGCGCTGAAGCTGCATTGGAAACAGCTGGATCCCCGTAAACTAAAGTGAGAGTCCAATAAATGCTTGAAATGTTCCTCGGTCTCGGCAACGACGATGGACTCCGGAAGGCGGTTCCAGTCATTCACAACGCGAGTGGATAAAGCCAGGCTGGATCGCACTCGATCACTCCTCGGTTTGAACAGTTTCAAACTGTTACGCATCCCAGGACATCGATTGTGATTTGAGTTCAACTCGAGGCCACAACTGGAAACTATTTAAACCCAGAAGACTTCGGATTCATCCTGCTCTCGCTCTATCAACTCGCGTAGTCAACGATTGGAATAACTTGCCGAAGTATGTGGTCGAGGTCCAGACGGAGGAATGTTTCAAGCGAATGTTAGACTCTTATCTTTTGAGTACGATGGGTCCTTGCAGTTTCCAGTGTAGCTGTCAAGGTCCCTTGTGGATTACCGCGTAACATCGAATCGCGGCCTCCACACAATGATCGGGAAGCGATGGAGCTGACAAAGGATTTCTCCTTCTGCTCTCTACAATCCTATGAACCTATGAACCATGATCTGTATGAAGGAAAAGGAGGATAGGATATAGTTATAAATTATAGCTGTTGGTTATAACTAATGCTTTTGTCATGAAAGACGATGGCTGTCACTGCAAAATTGGTCAGGAATAGAGTCTTCCATATTGTCTGGTTGGGTTACAAACTAAGACGAACCGCATATGGATACTCTTGATTATAACCTAACAGGTGATGCTTATGACATTTATTTGCTCTTCCCCCGTAGCATCTGTGTTTTACCACGCCCCCATGTCTTGTCCATATGCATGTATAGTGCTTATGTCCTCTCCTATCGATTGCTTTTGTTGTAGTACAGCAATTGATTATAAGGCCTGACTGTTGGAACTTATTGGAGGCTAACTTGAGCTTCAAGCTCAAGTGGGACTGGAACGACGGGATTATCCCGTGAGTGTTCCTTCTTCAGCGAGTCGTTGAACCAGGAGTTGGCAGACTTTGAAATACTGATGGACCTATAACAAAGACCGCATTACACCCTGTCCAACCAAATAAATGCCCACGTATCCTGCCCCAGCAGTCCCTGCTGGGCCGGTTACGTGAAGTAAGAAGAGAAAAAAGTAAACTCAGAAGACCAAAAGAGAAAATGGTAAGAGTTAAGCAAGTAGGATACAAAGATATTTGAGTCGTTGAAAAAGAAATGAAAAGTGAAGGTGAGTCAGCTAGGAAAAAGGAAAGGCTTGGTGTTGCCACCCGAGAGCATCGAGCTGGCTCGCTAAACCCTTAACCGTAGGTTCCTTGACCACGTGATCTCGAAGCGAATTCCAGCGATCTATAACTCGGCGCGACAGACCAGTTTCCGTCTTAATCGTATCAGACCGTGGTTCATACAGTTACAGTGGGTGACCGCGGAGATTCGGAAAGGTGTTGGGACTAAACAGCCCTGAAAAGTCTGGGCCGATCTTACCTGTTAAAATATGATAAGTGAGAATCAGGTCCCCTCTTAGCCTTCGTCGCAACGACACTGGACCTTAACGTGGTGCGACGGTTTGCGTACCTCATTGACCCATTGAGCTATACTGGGTGATGCCTCCGAGCGTCTTGAGAGCTACTCCTACCAGGTTTGTCAATGGTGAGAGGTCAGACAAACTCAGTCTCCTGATTCTCCAGGTTGGGGGTGTGAAATGGGATGGCGTCCATTTCTGTAAAACTAAATCATTGCCACCTCCCCGCTGCCTTGCGGACAGGCTTTTGAGCCAAAGGCTTTGGATGAGGACCCTAATCGTCCTCCTGTCTAGGTCTGGGTGCTCTGGCAGTATCTCAGCCCACATACAACCATGACATTTTCTTCAAACATAAACTTCATCCTGCATCGGCCGTCGCGCAGATTATCAAGGGTCGCCTTATCTGCTGCATACAGCAGGGCGGATAAGCGAAAACATGCTCCTGCTGGCGCCTCCCTTCTTTCCTCTCCACCTTTTTCTCTTACTCCCATCCCGGCCCATATTACTAACCTTCCTTCTATAATTCCCAGTTTAATTGACAGCAACCGAAGTGCTACTGGAGTAGTACCATCTGCAGCCACCATCCCACAGCACCTATCGGCAAAAGTCCCTCATAAGGCCACGCTGTCCCGTTTCCATAGCGACATTTAACGTCCGCACTCTAAGACAAACAGGTCAGCAGCCTGCACTCGCACGCACCTTGGACACACTGGGTGTTGATGTGTGTTGTGTGTCCGAAACTAGGATTAATGACCCTAAAGGGGTTATTGAACTGACTGCACCCGGCTTATCCACTCGTTATTGGTTGCACGCATCCGGAGATGCCGATGCGGCACTCACGGGTCAAGCTGGTGTAGGTATCATTCTCAGCTCCAAGGCTGAGTCATCGTTGGTTGATTGGATTCCAGTGAACAGCCGTTTATGTGCAGCCCGTTTGACAACATCAGCTAAGGTTGATTCACGAAGTAGTACAAAACGCTGTTTGTTTGCGATTTTCGTTTATGCTCCCACCGACTGCAGTTCTAATGCAGTCAAGGACACTTTCTATCACGAACTGAACGCCCTACTACGCAGTGCTACTAGTTCAGATATTATAGTACCTGCAGAGGATATAAACGCACAAGTAGGGCGTCTGAGCTCTTCAGAAGCTCAACTGGGTGGTAGTTATGGACTTAACTCCGAACGGACTGACAACAGCGAGCGTCTGCTGCAACTGTTTGCAGAGCACCAGTTGTTTCTTACTAGCATTGCATTTAGAGAAAGTGGGCGTCGAAGTGCCACTTGGCGTCCACCTGTAGCTGGCCAGCGATGAACCCAAATTGACCACATAGCCATAAGTTACAGGTGGTGCGGTTCCATTCTGGATTGCCGCTCGTACTGGAACACTTGCGCCGACTCTAATCGTGCCTTGGTGCGCTGTCGTTTCTCCATGAACTTTAGCGGAAGGCGCACCAAGCGTCCCCCACGATTGGCAACGGAGAAATTGTCTCAGTCCTCAGTAAGGCAAGCCTATCAAGAAGCAATGCATAGCGAACTCTCGCTGTCTTGTCCTAATGACACTGAGCTTCAATGGAATAGGATCTCGGCCGCTATGCACGACGCAGGAGCATCTGTTTGTGGCACTATCAATCGTCACCGCACCAGTCACTGGATATCCGAGAGGTCGGTGAACCTGTTGGAATTTAGAAGACACCTCCCGGCTGGTTCTTAACACAATGTGACCAGACGGGCTATTAGGCGTGAACTAAAGCGGAGCCTACATGCTGACAAGGAAGCCTGGTGGACCAGTCGGGCTCAAGAAATGGAGGAGGCAGGAGCAATAGGCAATTACCGGAAGCTCTTCCAGCCAATCCGCACCACTGGTCCGAGAAAACCAGGCGTCAGTGAGACAATCAGAGACAGCGCGGGTGCGCTGGTACACAATAAGGAGCGCCGTATAGCTCGTTGGGCCAAACACTTTGAAGATCAGTTTAGCAGGCCTCCTGCTCCCGTACCTCTTTCTTCTCAGGTGATGCAGGACGTGCCATGGACGGTTAGTATAGAGCCTCTGTCGGAGTCCTAGGTCCGAAACGCGATCACAGCCCTTAATGGTTTTCGTGCCGCCGGCCCGGATTTCCTCCCACCAGCACTATTTAAGGATGGAGGTGAGGTCCTCTGCAAAGCACTCACCTCCCTATTCGAACATATCTGGAACGAAGTGTGCCGGCTAATTGGAGCGAATCGATTATAGTGGCAATATACAAGAAGGGCAGTCGCACAGACTGTTCTAACCACAGGCGTATTAGCCTAACGCCAGTTGTGACAAAATTACTGGCCTCCATTATCGTTCGTCGCCTCACTGACGAACGGGAATCTCGGATTAGGGAAGAGCAGTCCGGTTTCCGCCCAGGACATGGCTGTATAGACCATATATTCACTTTGCGGCAAGTGCTAGAGCAGCGCCACGCATACCGCAGACCGACAATAGCTGTGTTCCTCGATTTCAAGAGTGCGTTCGATTCTGTCGATCGATCGATTCTGTTCGAATTACTTGCGCGGAAAGGTGTTCCCACGAAATATGCGAACATCCTTCGTGCTCTATACTCGAACACTACAGGCCGCGTCAGGGTCTATGGTGTCCTATCGGATAGCTTTCCGACTACAAGTGGCGTTCGTCAGGGTTGTCCGATTTCCCCCTTTTTGTTCAATTTCGTCGTGGATTCTATCATGGAGTGTTCCCTTGTGTAATCTAACGATGTAGGCGTAGAAGTGCTGCGTGGTGAAAGGTTAGTTGATCTAGATTATGCGGACGATATCGTCTTGCTTTTCGACAATGTTGGTGCGGCACAATCAACTCTGAATAGCCTGTCCAGAGTGGTCCCATTATATGGTATGCACTTCGCACCTTCAAAGTGCAAAGTGTTGCTGCAGGACCACCAGCCACTTGATGACCCCTTGACGCTTGCTAACGAGGAACTCGAGGTGGTTGATCAATTCACTTATCTTGGCAACTGCATCAGCAATGATGGGCGCATAGAAACTGACGTGAGCTCACGCATCGCAAAAGCCATAGCTACCTTCTTGAACCTGCGTCATCTTTGGCGACAGAAGGGAGTTTCCCTTCGTCTGAAAGGCTGTGTATACAAGGCCACAGTGAGGGCCGTTCTGCTCTGTATTAGTGAGACTTGACCCCTTCGGTCTGAAGATCTGAGGCGCCTTCAAGTCTTTGATCATCGTTGTCTGCGAAGCATTGCTGGAGTGGGATGGC